CTGGGTATTTCCGTTGCTTTTTCGGCATTTAATTGGCCGTATAATTGATTGGAGTTGTTGTTGCCGGTTTCTTGGTATTGGATCTCCGTCCGCTCCCTTCCAACTCATTATTTTGGGCGTATGTTTGTGTAGCACAACATTTGAAAATACCAAACGACACACCATCAGCCAGCAGCCAGCACAAGGGGCAAAGTTTTCCTTTGCTAAACTACTGAATGGAGCGACTCGTGGCACGGCTCTATAAATTTGTATTGTGTTGGCTTGTACGAGTATTCTGTGGTACGTAATTAATTATATTTGCCTGCCAGCCTGCCTGCCTGCCTAAAAATGTCAGTCGGTCTCTAATTATTATTATTCCAGCAAGGGGGAGCCCCTCGGCCCGCCCTTCCAGCGATGCTCGGAGGGTGGGGCCCAGGTCCGCATATCTTTTCTCCATCGTTCATTGGGCTCTGGTTCACAGGTTGTTTGACATTAATTGATTTATTTGCCTTTTACATAAATTAGGCGCTGAATATTTGGTTTCATGGCCAAAATTGAGTGCCTCCATTGAGCAGTGCTCTGTGATGGTGTGAGTGTCTCTGATATCACTCTCTTTAAGCATTAAAGATCAGATACATTTTCAGTTCATAAAGAAAACCACTAATTAATTAATCAGAAACATGCTGGGCAATGGACAGCATTGCCAAATATGAGCCACAAAGTATCTGAAGCCAACTCCTGGCTGGGCTGCCTTCCTGCCAGTTAGATGATGGCCAAGCTCCTGTTTTTGAGCGAAACAAAGTCCGTCTCCCGGGCACATCAGCCGCAGTCTCGTACTCATTCGCTTTGGCGCTCGCCCAGCCGGAAAAATACATAGATCGAGAGGGCGAAATAGCGGCAAAAGCGGCAACAACGGCAACGGTGGGTGGGTATGGCAAAAAATGAACAACTTTTTGACAGCGCAACATGCAAAAACAAATTACCAAACAGTCAAACTGTCAATTACGGGGCAATTAGTTGGCTTCGATTAAATGGCAGCCGTTGTTGCCTGTAGTGGCTGTCGTCGCTTAAGCCGTTCTGGGTTCATTTCCAATGGCCCGCCATCCCGCCCCGACCCAAGTACCGGCCCAGGCCCCGGCCCCAGCGCCGTCTCTGGCCATCGACAGGGGGGACTGCAAATATTTGTGGCTGAAAATTAATGCCTGACAAGCCGGGCAGAATGGAGAACTTTCCGTGATAATTGGCCAATTGCTTTGGTTCCGAGCAGTTTGATTTATACCTGCTCGGTGGCTGAGACTCTGGCTGAAACGATAGCCAGGTGCATGCATCCCCAGCATCCCCAATGGCCACTCAAGCGGCCAACACACAACATTTACAGCTTCGGAGTGCAGCTTGCTGGGCCTGGTCCTGGTCCTGGGTCCGGTCCTGGGACTGCGCTGCTGCACTCTTGGCCCTGGCAAGTGATAAGAAGATAAATGTGCACATAACTATGTATGCACTCGGCTCCTCTGCCGTGCCGTACCTGCTGCGGCTAATAAATTCATTCCGAACTGATATAAGAAATGGAATTTGAAAGTTTTATGAGCATATAAAACAGCAGAGCAAAACACAGCTGAAACCACGAGCCTCCGATATTGCAATAAGCCAGCAGGCCATAAGCCCGGACCTGGGATTCAGGAGGGAAGGATGGGCTTTTGTTTGTTTGTTCGGGCTGTCCATGGGCTGGCAGATGGGAGCTGGAACTGGAATTATGAGCGATGTCGCAGCCAGTTTTGCTGCCTCTTGGACGCAATCTTAGGCCCTCTCGCTGGCTCTGCCTGAGCCTCGTCTCCTATATGCTGGCAACATTTGGCATTGCTCATACGACGTGTGGTCTCAATATGCAATGTTGCGTGTCTTTCCGGCACTGGCTGCCATCCCATTTCCGCAGCAGCAGCATGTGTGTGTGTGTGTGAGCTGCATGCTATCTACTGCACTGCACTTTTGCCGATTGATGCCTTTGGCATGCTTTTGTGTTTGGCTTCATCCTCATCTTCATCCTTACTCCCGAACCCATACCTAAACCAACATCCATCCGCACCCCATCTCCGCAATCTCCGCATCTCTCTGTCAAAGCAGGCCGACCCAGCCATTGCAGCAGGCAGGAATGCCCACTGCAACAGCAACAGCAACAGCAGTGGCAAAGGCAAAGGCACCAGGAAAGGGCAAATGCAACTGCAACGGCAGATGCAGAGGGATGCATGAGGGAATGGCAACTGCAGCCAGGCAAATTGCATGACATTAGATTGCCGATTGCCCTCGAAACAGCCGCCGCCGCCGGCGATGAGGCGCTGCATTGTGGTCGTATAAATTGCATTGCATACTCCGGCGCGCCACTAATTATGCGACCGAGCCCCTCGGTCCCCCATCGCCGGTCCAGCCTCATAAATATGTATTACAGCATATACTTTCACCTGTCGCTAGGCGCGTCATCAATCAACGTCCATTATGCAAAAGAAATGCAGCAGGAAACGGAAGTGTGGCACATGTAGAGAGAGCGACACGCATCGCCAAAGGGATCACGTCACGTGAAAGGATAGAAAAGAGGGGAGGCCTTGGAGCCTCTTATAATGAACAGTAAGCCCCACACTCTCTTTGCATATTTGATGGGTCTGCTGGTCATTAAATTACAAGCAATACACCGACTTTGACGTCTCCAATTTCGGGCAAGCAATAGGAGTGGGGAGTGGGGACCAAGTCATGTTCCTTTTGACTTGGCAGACAGGCCTGTCAAATTCCCCCAGCACCCGTTCTCCCCCCTCACACACACACACACACACACACCCATCACCATCTCCATCCCACCACCCGTCTTCCTGTCAGTGGCAACAACAAATAATAAAATGTTCTGCGTCCGGCCAGAGCCAGACCGCCTGCTTTCTCCTGCTTTCATCTCCGGATCGGGACAGAAGAACGAAATAATTTAATTTTGCCTGCCATGTTCGCCGCAGGCCGTCGCCCGCTGAATTTGTTTTATTAAAAACTGTACACTATGCTATACGCACGCACACACACACACCCATACACAAAGAGATGCAAATGCAAAAAAAAAAAAAAAAAAATGAAAGAAATGAAATCAAATACTCAAAAATGAACAAATAAAGCAAAAACCAAGACAGCAACAGCGACACAACAGCAAAACACAGAAAGCCGGCCCTGAACGAGAGAGAGAGAGAGAGAGAGAGATATGCGTCTTTCAAGAGGAACAAAAAGAAAATTGGACAAAATATACGGCGGAGTGGAGGGGAAGGGAGAGAAAGCAGAGAAGTTATATAATTTCTGTGCAGATTTCCTTTGACGGTTTGACGGTTATTTAATTTGGCGGATAACTGGAACACGAATCCCACATAATCCATATTCTGAATCAATTGGGGCCACAGTCTGCGTATAAATTCGAAAGTGGATGCTCTATAAATGTTGTAGGATCATTTGTCTTCGTGCCCTTGTTTTTTTGGCAATGGTCCACCAATGGTACAGCGCCTCTTGAAATCATTAATTTCGAATATTATCCCGGGCTTTTTCCCCTTTTCTCAATCGTAAATATTACTATTCATAAATTTCAAATAACTTCAGTGCCATTTAGCGGGGCATAAATGCTCTCTATATTTAAGTTTTTTTCCGCTCCTCTCTTTTTCATCTTCATTGGTGTGTGTGTGTGTGTTCTTTTTTTTCCCAGGCGTGTGTATCTTCTTTATTGAACAAACTAATCATGACCCTTTGTGGCCGACACGTGGCCTGGAAACGGGGGACAGCAAATAATGTACGCTCTGTGGGCCCGTCGATGGCCGGAATGGGAATGGGAAGGGGAGGTTGGGGGGCCAGCATCCCATAACGCTGAGCATATTTAGAGTCCCGTCCGGGCAAATCCTTTAAGTGTCATTCGGTGGCCCCAGCATTCGGATAGTCCGACAAATAGTTTACCGTATTCTGCCCTCTGTTTTTTTTTCGTTGTTCTGTTGTTTGTTTGCTCACTTTTTATTCCTTTGGATTCGCACATTCGGACACTACTTAATTATGTTCTTAGTCCCTTTTATGTCACAATTTTCATTTCGCCACATCAAATAAAGTAAATGTCCGGCCGGACGACAGGGGCTCGCCAGAGGCTTGCTCTGGCTCTCGGTTAGGGTTCGTTTGCGGGTTGGGGTTCGGGTGTTTGGGTGTTCTCCTGGCCACCGCAATTGTCGTGGCAAGGTAAACAAATATGCGTATATGGCTGGTCTGCTAACTACATTGGCCATTGGCTGCAGTCGTGGCCTGCCTGATGCCGGGGAGGGGAGCACATGGGGGTTGGTTGCGGTGCTGGGGGAACAAATGTGCCTATTTGTAGCCCTGGTGTCTGCCGCCCCCTTTGGTGTGCTATAAAATTCCGGACGAAATGGACACTCGGACTTTTAATATGCTCGAGTAATGTCTGCATTAACAGAATTCATTTGCAGGACATGGGCCATACCCCATACCATATCTACGCCAGTGTATGTGCTTGTGTGTGTGTTGGAGAAAACAAATTTATGTCGTGCTACTTGCTGAAATTGGATTTCTGGCTGCTGTTTCCCCCAGTAGTAGTTATTGTTGTCGTCACGTCGTTGCTTTTTAGTTGGACCTACAGCAAAACAAAAAAAAAAAGGGGAGAAAATAAGGGAAAAAGAGACAGAGCTTCCACAACAGGATACAGGATTGCAGGAGCAGGTTAGGGCATTTGTTTCTATTCCGAAGCTTTACTACGTGTAATCCTTTTTCATGAACGGACACTTGTCGCACGGTGTGTCCTTGGCATTAGTCTCAGGATCGTCGTAACGCTACACTTTCTCTCTCTCTTTCTCCCATTCTCTCGGAGTCGGAGTCGTAATCAAGTTGAATGCTTCAATTAGGAAATGTCTCCCGCAGCGAGTGCTCTAAATTAGAATGGCTTGGCACGTGTCCTTATTTTTATCCTTATCTATTTATGTGTAATTTTAATGGTCCATCACTTGGCTCCATTGCAGAATGGCAAATTGCCCAGGAACCTGCCCGCCCTGCGTGCCATGGAAATGGCCCTGCGTACCAACTCCTTTGCCACGCCAAATGCTGCAACTGCCGGCACACCGAGAGATGAACAACTGAAGGACATGGCGGACAGTGACTCGGAAATGGAGTACATGCCACCGCTGCACAGTGAGTACACACACACACAACGACAGTGGCAAATTCAATTAAAAATTTTTGAAACTGCTCCACCTGCACGTGCGTGACGAGCTTCTGACGAGGACCCAGCGATGGTCAGGTGGCCAGTTGATTCTAGTGTCAGCGTCCAGCGTCCAGCGTCAGTGTCAGCCGTTTCAATTTACTTTTATGTCTCACAGCCTTATCGCGGCGCAAATTGAAATGAAATCTTGACACAATCAGCATGCCCTATGCCCCATGCCCCATGCCACTGACATGCACGTACTGCTCAGATTCTCCACATACAATTAAGTTAAACGCTGACCATCAATTACGGGACGAGCTGCCTCTAAGCGGTGCTGGCAGCTGGGTGCCGCTGCCGCTGCCGCTGCCTGGCAATGGGAAAAACTTTTCAGCCCAAAATAAATATATTTATGCCGGCAGCAGCATCCTGAAGATGCCGCAGGAAGGGACACGAAAAACATACAAGTCAAAGCCGAAGGCAAAGGCAAAGCCAAGCCCAACCTTAAGCGACAAAAAATTGTCAACTTATGCGAAAGTCCCAGTGCCTGTCCCAGTCCCTGTCCCATTCTCAGTCCTCCGCTCAGTTCTATTGTCGCTGTCTTTGGCTAAAGATGGTATCAAAAACTTCTGGTCTGGAAACGCAGCTGAATGCCGGCAAATGTTCTCCAGATCTCTTTTACTTCCCTGTTTATTTATATTAATATTTTTATCATTTTATTATGACTACAAATGTGGAGGACAAGCCGTGTATCCACCTCTAGTGTGCATAGCGCAAAAACTTTCTCGGCCACAACTTAAATTCACTTTAGTTAGTTGTTAGGTAACCGTATTCAGGGCACTGCCGGTGGGCCATTTACATTTCGCCTATAAATATAATTGAATAATGAATATATAAATCAAATGAGAGTTTTCCGAGCCTCGCCTCAACGCACACGGTTTTTCATCTGTCCATTGTTTAGCCAGTTATGTAATCAATAAGAGAAGATCGCTCACAGCAATGAATTCTGGCTAAAAAAGAAACATTTTGAATGAACTATTCTGGGAAAAAAGTATTTTTCTACTCGAATGAAACGTATAGAAATATTTCCTTTTAAGAAAGGAGGGACTTCGAAAAATACTGATAAAAACTCTTAGAGAGAGAGAGAGAGTTTAAAATGGTATTTTTTTTAGTGGAATTTTAATGAACTATTTTCAGAAAATACTTGCTAACGGGGATTACTAACAATTCCAATGAATGCTACAGAAACAATATAATAAAATAGATTGTTGCAGAGATTTTCTAGCCTTCACGAGAATTGTAGCTCATACTTTCCAGGAAAAGTCTTGATTAATGAAAAAATGAGGAACTGGAAAAGTAGATTTCTCCAGTATATATGTTAAAGGGAATTCTGTTTATTCGTAAAATACCAATGAGGAATACCAGATGAATCTGCCTCATCCACCAGGTGGCAGGCATATAATGGACCCGCGGCTCAGCCTCGTGCCCCAGTCCCCCAGTCCCCCAGCCCCTCAGGCAGCTGCTGTAAGTGCTTCGCTTTGCAGCTGTTCCAATTTTTAGTGTAAATAACCCCGGCAGCAGAAGCAGCATCAGCCTTGTTTTTGTCCGGGCATCACCCAATGCTTGAGTTTTCCCAGCTGCAGGCCCCTCCTCCCTGGACAAGCTTTCCCCTTTGGCACACTTGTCAATATGAAAATGTGGCACCATACCTCTACCCCGCTGCCACTTGTGCCTGTCGCTGCCGCTGGCGGGTGCTGCTGCTGCTGCTGTTGCTGTTGCATTTTTTCGCTCACCTGAATGTTTGTTCAGTCAGAAAGTTTTGATTTATTTACGGCACAAGTTTTACATTTTACACGACACTCGCCTCCAATTACACGCCGCTGACGCTGCCACTGCCGGTGCCGGTGCCGGTGCCTGCCACGCTGCCTGCGTCGCTGCCACCAGCAACCCTTCCAACTCGACTCATTTACACCTCAAGCAACAACCCTCAACATTGCAGCAGCAACAGAGGCAGTGCCAGTGCCAGCAACGGTAGTAAAAAACTAAAAAAGTAAAACAGAAATACTTTCCTTCAGATTTTAATCGCTCACGTGAGCCCTACCTACTCCGTGTGTGTGCTTGAGAGTGTGTGTTTTGTTCGAGTGTGTGTGTGTGTGCCTTTCGCAGTTGCTGGTGTTTGTATTTTTTACATATTTAGTCGCCGAGCGGATAATGTGTCACCATGCTGCCATCGTCGTCGTCGTCGTCGTCGTCGTTGGTGTTTTACTTTCAGTTCAGACTGTTACGGTGGCCATCGTCATTGTCGTCACGGTTGCGCAGCTCCACGAACTTCTGCATTTGCATAATGCACTTGCTGAGAGATCCGGCAGCCAGCCACTAGCGGGAGTATGTCCCTTTAATAGTTCAAAGCTGCTCAAATATTCAATGGAAAGAGCCCATGGGGGAAATCTGTGTATCTGTCTATGTATTTAAGATCAATTCGTAGCATAAATACTCAATATAGCCAGCAGGAGTGGATCACTGTTACTGGTAAGTGAGGTCTTTCCTTAGCAGAAACTCTTTTTTCGTTACTGTTTATTTCTATATATAGATTTACGATATGCGTGCCACAAGTTTTTCCTTTCAACCCTTCTTGAAGGCTTGCATGCCACAAAACCCGATATCTGTTACACAGCCAACGGTGCATCGAGTGTTTGTGCTTGTGTTTTGGCCCATGAATATGCAACGCTATGCAGCACGACGCGTCGGGGGGGCCAGCATACCAATCCTTTTTGGGGTAAATCGATCAGAGACCGCTTCGGGGCAAAGTAAAATGTCGCCATTCGCGGCACTCACTCATCTTTTGCAGTGACCTTGAAGAGACTCTCACATAGCCCCGCACAGCCCCCTTCCTCATTTGCGTGACCAAAACCAGGGCCATTTGCGACTCAGTCGCCAGCCACTTTCCACATTGCCACAAAATGTTCCTCAGACTTTCGTCCTCATCTTCGTCTTCGTCTTGTCCTTTGCCTTCGCCTTTCCGTTGCCTTTTCCCGCGTCTAATACGCTTTTGGCCAATGTAACAGTTGCTAAAATGTTTTCTATTGTTTTCACGCTCAACAAAAGGCAGACAATTAGTTTTCTTAAACGACAAATCAAGTAGAAATTAAGTGGTGGCGGGTAAGAGCAAGAGCCAGAGCCAAATGCCAAGGCAAAGGCACAGGCACAGGCAAAGGCAGGGCCTAGCTGCTGCTCGTTGTGGTTGCTGCTCCTTCGCCTTCTGGGGGGTTGGTGGTGGTCGTGGTAGTTCCCTGGTTGTTTGGTGAGAAAGGGCGCTCGAATGATAACAAGACAAAAGTGGATTATTGGCTCTCAAGAGCACATAAACAATAGCATGTGCTGCTCTCAGTATGAGTGTGTGTCTGAGCCTTTGTTTGCTTGTCTATTGGTGTGGCCTGCCCCCATTCTCGCGTCTCAAGCGGCTCAAGCGGAGCTCAAGCGGCGGCTCGAACCACTCTCGCCCCACGACTTAGAGGTTTTCGCGTAATGAAGAGTGATGTCTGTGAGGCGGTGGCTGTAATGCGTCTAATCTAAACGCTGTTAAGGATACCCACAGCCAGAGATGCACAACAGAGCCCCAAAGTCGAACATCCCACAGAGTGACGACGCGTATAACACCAAAGGGTAACCATAATTGCTGCGACGATAAAAGCAGGGAAATTACCTCTTCGAAGCGAATTCGAAAATGGCTTAGCGCGGACCACAACCAATTCGAAGAAGCGAAATGCGCATGACGGGGAGAGGATTTTGGATGACAATGTTCGGGGATTGCTCGCTCGTTCTTTTGGTCGTCGGGTGGAGGGCCGAGCGAGGACACTGCTCGGCTATGCCAAAAAGGATTTTGACGCGACGGCGACGCCGGCAGAATAGTGGTAAGCGAGCCGATATGTTGACTATTTGTGAGGCAGACGAATGCGCTTCGCTTTCAGTTTGAATTGTGTCCTCGTTAAGAAAGGATATTCGTTACATTGTTGTTAAGTTGTTATTATAATTTCTCAAACCAACAAACCAACCGACAAACCAAAAGCCAACAACTGCTCGATAAAGAGAATTCAAAATATAAAAAGCCCCCAAAAACGTAAGAGAAACTCAAACCAAAAATCAAGGAATCAACGATGTGTGCGACTCATAAATAAAATAAAAAAATTAAAATAAAATGCGAACTGAAGCTGAAAAATAATCTTATCAAAAAAATATAAATACACAAATTAAAAAAAAAAAACAAAACTCATTTTCAAAACAGTTAAAATAAATATTTTCTGTATGAGTTCTTAGTTTTTGTGATTTTTGAGTGTTGTTATAGTTTCCTTTGGTGTTGAATATGTGTTTTTTGCTATAATTTCTTTCGTGTTTAGATTATGGGTGTTCTTAGGTGTTCCGAATTCAGTGAGATCGAGAATATATATTTTCTTCTAGCTGCCAAAAGACTTTCTTTGAACCAAACTTGCTTAAAGTTTTGACAGTTGTTCAGTTTTATATTGAATACTTTTCGAAGATTGATCTAAGATATTCTGATATTTCGAAGAAAATCGATTTGAGCATCGTAGTATTTTGGAAATATTCAACTCGTTTTCGGGTTTCTTGGTCTCGTTGTCGCTTTTGCTAGCATCGATTTTAGTCGCTATTTACATAGACTGCCACAACCGTCTCTGCGTTCTGCGTGCATGTGTGTTTTGTTGCTCCCGCTGTGTTTTTTGGCCACATTATGTACAACAACAGCAGCAGCAGCATAAAGGAACACTGGCACAACAGCGGCAACAACCATAGGAGCCTGCCACTTCGGCTTATGTGGCACATAAACCGACAACGAGCAGCCAATAAATGCTGCCGCCAGCCAACGCCGACTGCCGCCGACATCGCACTGGGGCTCCTTCCTATATAAAAAAGGGCCATTGCAGTTGTGTGCGTCTGTCTGAGTGTGTGTGATTCATACTTACACACACACACACAGATTGTTGTGTTGGTTTTGTATTTTTGGTGTGTTTCATGCACTCGTCCTCGTCCTCGTCCTGGTCGTGCTTTTTTGTGTGTCTTCTGGCCGCGAGTGCTTCCTGACTGTATGTGTCCTGTCCTGGCTTTTCCAAATAAAAATATAAGTTTATATTTATACATAGCATTTGTCTGTCCCGCCGTCCCTGCCGCCCTGCCTCCCTGCCTCCCTGCGTCCCTCCGGTCTTCCATCCCCTTATCCCTTTGTGAGCATGGCGCTATAAAAACCGGAAGCGTTAGACTGACGTCGAGGCTGCGCCTGATTCTGACACTTGCCAACACTTGGGGCGTACAGGGTGACAGGGTCTGGGGTTTCTGATGCTGATACTGCCGCTGCCGCTGCCGCTGCCACTGCCGCTTTCTCTGTCTTTCAGGGTGCGTCTGTCGTAAAACCCATCTCCGTTTCTTGTTCGTACTCGTACTTTTTTGGCACTTGTACTCTCGTACTCTCTGCTCCTTTTATGATTATTGTTATAATTTTTTCGCTGGCTGAGCTGTCTGTTTCTGCTTTTGCCACTTAGACATTGCGTTACGCGCACTTTCGATGTCTACCCTCCCCCACCCACCCATCCACGCCTCTAGAGGACTTTCTCGCATAACTTTTTATTTTTTGTTGGCTCATGTTCCGCTTTGTATGCGGAGCGGAGCACACAAATCGTAAAATATTAAATTTAATTTTTCAAATGATGTGTGAATGGCTTAGTCCTGATATATGATAATGGTTGTGCCACAGCCCAGGCCCATGCACATCCCTCCAAGAGGCACATAAAAAAGGCAAGACTTCAGTTTTATATATGTTTTTTTTTTTTTGGGGGGAATGGAGGGAAAACAGCACTTGCTCGAGCATCAGGGAGAAAGTTAATTATACTTTTGTTTGTTTAGCATTATCCGTTTTTTTTTGTTTATGTTTCTACTTGACAGAATATTCTTAGATATATGGGAATACCGATGTTCCATTGCATATTTAATTATATTTTGGCAAGTTTTTAACAATCGATTGAAATTATAGAAAAATCAACGGAATTTCCGGCATTTTGTGCCTGAGAGATTCTGATTTTGAATTCGAAAAACCAAATGAACTTTTTCAACACAAATTTCATTGGTCTGTGATAAGTGAAGGTCAAGCAAAAAGAGCGAATTTTTTATGCAAAATTAAAAAGCAACCACAAACAACACGAAGCGGAACAAACAAAACAGCAAACGGAAAGGAAAACCGCAGAAAGGCAGCAATTCAAATTAGTAAAATTGTAGAAATTATTTAATGCCTCAAATGATTTGCGCATAAAACTCGACAGCATCGGCAGCAGCAGCAGCAGCAACAACAACAGTGCGGTTTCACACAAAAAGGCAGCTATAAAAATTATTTAGCCAAATTATAACACAATTTATTTGCATCATCAACTGCAAGGCGGCAGGCAGGCACTTCATTAAACATCAAAGCAGGCTGTGTTTAACCGCAGAACGTGCGAATTCCACACCGCAATACCAGCAGTAACAGCAACAGCAACAGCAGCAACAGCAGAAACAGCAGCAACAAAAGCAACACCCACGGAAAGTGCAGCTGAAACAGGAAACGGAAACGAAAACGGTAATACCATGTTGGCCATGCCCACTCTGATGATGCCAGCCACTGCACAGATGACGCTCAGCAGTCAGCCCCTGTCGGTGGGCGCCAAGCCGTACGAGACCAAGCTATTGGCCATCCACCAGACGCACTTGCAACAGCAGCAGCAGCAACAGGCGCCCTCCCAGCAGCAGCAGCAGCACCAGCAGAACGGCAAGCAGCAGGCCCAGCAGATGACCATCGTCACCACTCAGCAGCAACAACAGCAGCAGCAACAGCAGCAGCAGCAGCAGCAGCAGCATCCCCAGTCGCAGTCGCCACACCTGCAGCAGCAGCACTCGCAGCAGCAGCACTCGCAACAGCAGGCCGTGGCCGCAGCAGCCGCCGCTGCCGCCGCCCACCATCAGCAGCAGCAGGCGGTGGCCGCCGCCGTCTGTGCCGCCCAGCAGCAGGCGGTGGTCGTCCAGCAGCAGCAGTACCAGATCCACTCGCAGCAGCAGTCGCCCCAGCAGCAGGTGCTCAGCATCTCGCCCAAGCAGGGTAAGCCAAACACCCCACCACCAAACGATACAGATATGAGCATATATAGTATACGTGTATCTAATTGTCATGGCCGATATAATGATGGTGGCGGTAATAAACTTCCTCCAGGCGTGAGCCACCTCCTTTGGGGTAATGGATGGAGGAAGGCTTTAAGGTGCAGGCTCGCCCCATTTGTTTACGAGGCATTCCAACACTTTGAGGCACTTATCGATTGCGTTTTATTGCCGGCTGGGGCCGGAAGGGGCTAGGACTAGGCCTCGGCTCAGACGAAGGAGTCCTTACAAATTTCACGAGTTTTACGAGGAGCTCGAGCAGCAGTTCAAGTAATGCTTTTTATGGTTTCGTCGTAAAACGCCGGCCAAGCCTCTAATAGCCATCTAATGTTATTTGGCCTCAAAACGAGGGCCGCGTGTTTGTCAAAGTTTACGTTTTTACTTATGCTCTTGTGCCTCAAAACCCTTGGAAACTGAAGACCACGTATCCGTAGCCATAGCCATAGACGTATCTGTGTCCGTGGCTATCACAATTATAGAGCATGCAGCGGCGTAAGGTGTCTGTCTTTGTGGCTGTGCTAAATCAAATAGAAATCAATTTGAAATTATTGACAATTTCCACATTGGCATTGGCTCAAGCAATGCCTTCGCTTCGATTCGATTCTGATTCCGATTCCGGCTCTGGCTCTGATTCTCTGATTTTGTCATAGCTGGCATTCTGACTAAACGAAGGGCAAACACACTGCCGCACACATAGAACAAACAGAAAAAACCTATAGACAGAGACAGAGACAGCGTGGGAGGAAAAGTAAATACCAGAGAGGCATCCACAACAACGTGCTTTCTTCTTGCCACAGGCAGGGGCAGTGGGCTGGGGCGTTTGTCTGTTGTTTCGTACAGGGCAAAGTGCACTCGGCGAACAGCAAACGGTGGCCAAAGACGTTGAGGAAGACGGCGGCACACAGACACAGGATACAGCCACAGACTGCCAATTGTGCCAAGTTGAAGTGCAGCGGACGGACGGACGTCGTGGCGTATACGTAACATTTAGACGCACGTCCACACTTGACCCGTTGAAAGGCACAGAGCTGCGAAAATTGAAAATCGAAGCGGAGTTTCGTCGGGTGGCGGGGTGGCAAAAGTTTTGTTTGCAAAGTTTGCTGCTGTTGCTTTGCGGCAAATTTGTTTTTAAATTTGCAGTCCGAGTCGCCCAATGTCGAGTGTCTGTTGAAATTTTCAATTGAATTCGTTGTAAGATGCAGAAACAAATTGCCAAAAGAAGAAAGGGGGGCCACAAAGAGGGAGAGAGCTAAAAAGAATGTAAAAAGTTGTCGTCATTGCGAAGGCAAACAACAGACAAAGGCTGGCGCATTGGCAGCAACAACGAAAAAGCGTTTCCAGCACTGCTGCCAGCCGCAACGGAGAGAGAGCGAGCGTTGAATTTGGCTTATAAAGTGGTCCCCGACGAGGAGTCCGTCTCTGAGTCCCACCCGCCGAATGTCGTCCTTTGTTAGACCGTAAGGACGTTGACTGATGCGTTCGCCAGGCGTTGGCACAGCTGCCAAGTAGCCCTCTGCTCTCCGGGTCTGTCCCCTTGTGGACGTGGGATGGACGTGGGCGGATGGGAACTTTAAACAGGTGATCGATTTTTCTCTTTGTCACTTTGGCTAAAAACTTTTCAAATAAAATTTAATAAAATACGATGTGATGTGATCCGAGGCCAGACGAATTTAATCCGCTTGCAGGCGGCTTGCGACACCTCTCCTTCTGTGTTTGTTTCACAAATTAAATATGGCATATTTAAATTATAAAATAAAATAAAATAGAATAAACGGCTCACACATTACGGCTGTTTATGAGCCTATTTTGAAGCTCCTCCTAGCCGACATTATTTCAATTTATTTTTGCGTTTTTTGTCACTCCATCGATTTGCATATTCATTCAAATTTAAGGCATTCAATACTTTTTTCCTCCTATTGAATAAATAAGCATATTAAATGTTTATTTAAAACCAAAGAAATAAAGCACACAGATGTGAAAGAATTTTTAGATGGAAAGCATCGACGGATTAAATAAGTAATAATTATTAAAATTGCATACCACTTGAGAGTTGTTTCGAAGAAAAACTATATGCGAGTATCTACGAGATTTACCCTGAAGAGGGCATTTGCAATCAAGAGCGGAGTAATTACCAATTATGTACCAATTGTCTACTTTAAATTCTGAAAATAAATTCAGTTCAGGAGCTGCTTTTGAGTTAATGTATTTTCCGCTTACCCGAGCAGACACAATGCCTGAATCGGAATCAGAATCGTGTGCGAGTGAGTGTCCTGCCATTCAATCATCCCACTCACTGCTCACTAATGGTAATGGTAATGATGATGATGATGATGATGATGATGATGATGATGATGGGGCGACGATTATTATTGGCAGGCGTCGCATTGCATGCCGAATGCATTTTGTCAACCTGCCCATAGCCCCCCCATAGCCCATGCCCCAGCCCGCAGACTGTCATGCCGCCTGCTAACTCATCGCCCATTACCGTCATTATTGTGGCCGTTAAGTACGTTTGCAGCCATTATCGAGGGGTCTTGTCGCTGGTCGTGTCTGCGCAGTTATGCTTTAAATATGCCAACAGCGTCCTCGATGGCTACTCCTGGCATTTCCCTCGCAGTTCCACAGCACTCGTTGCATGCTGCTCTGCTCAATGGTTTTTAAAATTGAAAACTATATATCAATTGCCTAGGCGAAGAGCATAGCATAGTTTGTCCGCCGACAGTCTGGACTGGGGCACCAGTCGCCGGCACTTGGCCATTGTCGCCTCCTCCATGTGCCTCCTCTTGCTTTTGTTGTCTGGCTCTGGCTCTGGCTCTGGCCCTGGTCCTCTGGGCTTCTCCAGTTTCAGCTGCGGCGCCTGCTTCCATCTGTTACATCTTCTCTCCTATGGTTGTTGCTGTTGTTGTTGCGCCGCCTTTCTTATGGGCTTTCATTTATTTGCTATTAACCTGTCATTGTTCATTTTTATTATTTTGCGGTTTTTATGCCCCGCCTTTTGCGCTTTGTCTGCCGCTGTTGCTGTTTCTGTTGCAATCCCGTCTCGCGGCATTTTCCGCCACTTGGCAACTCTGCACACGACTCTGCACAAGTATGAGTATGTCTAGTCATGTGTGTGAGTGTTTGAGTGTGTGTGTGTGTGTATGCGTGCGTGTGCAATAAATTGTTATTATCGCTACGTTGCAGCATGTCGTCGTCCTTTTGGAGGACAAGCCGTGTCCACCAGCTCCGGCTTCGCTTCTGTCGCTGTCGCTGCCATAGCTTGTCCTTTTCGCTTCTGGCCGTCGTCGACAGGCAATGCAAAAGATTTATAACTTTTATTATTATTGAAGCTTATTTGCCGTTTAATACTTGCCGCATTTATCTGGGCCCCGACTTCAGCCCAGCTCAGCCATAGTTTACGACTGGAAAATCAATCATACGCCATGCTGACGCCGAGTCAAGCCAAGTCCAAGAGCGTCACCTGCCAGGCGTCTCCCTGTCCCTCTGCCCGTCCCTGTGCCTGTCTTCTTGTATTCATTTTTCACAAACAAGAACAACGACTGACACTCATTGATGTTGGATGTCATTAATGTCTTTGCCCTCCTGTCTATTCGCTGTCCACTTTGGACCCGACTTGGGTGCAGGACTTGAAAGCAGCACAGGAGTGTGAAGAATACACAAAGCACATCAGTCTTACATACGAGTATATGGCGATATTCCAGAGTTCAGAGAAGTCCCACAACGCGGCTGATTGGCGGGGGGTAACCGGCAAGAGCTCTAAACCGGTCACTTAATTTAGAGGGAGGCCATGTCCAAGTGGACTAGGAGATTAGTATGCCCGTCGGCTGTATGGCACAACGTCCAGCGGCTGATGCCTTGTTATTAAGTGGACGCTGCAGTTTCACCCCACCTCCACCACATCCACCTTCACTGGCAAACGCCAGTGGCACGGCACATCCATACACGGTCGGACTTGGAGGGACGGCCAGCAAAACTTTTAACAAACGTCACTTCTCCGATTCGTTCGGGTTCCGTTGTTGGTCTAGCCATCCTTCTGCTTCTGCTTCAGTCTTTCCCTCTTTCTCTCTTTCTCTAATTCTCTGGTGCACTTTTTATTCCTTGGCTCTTTTGTTTTTTGTTAAATGCCAGCAAACAACAAAAGCAGCATAAGGCAGTTTGGACAGCCGGGATGAGCATACAACTACGTAGCTAATACTTTAGCAGCCGGATTAGGTTCAATTGGAGCGGGGTGGAGGTGGAAGTGGAGCGGGCTCTGGCCACACAGCAGACCCGGCCGGCAGTCGGGAAACAGGGAAAAAAATCTCAAGCACACACACACACACTTTCAGGGAAAACAGAAAAGAGGCTCAGTGGGGGAGAGAGAGAGAGAGAGAGAGAGAGAGCAAGGAATAAAAACTGTTGTACCAAGCATTAAAGTTTAAACGTTGGTAAATTCCTACAGCTTCCGCTTAGTTGGACTTCATGACAGTCACTGTGGGGACAATGAGGCGCTTGACTGGACAATGCCAGGCAGTTGTGGGGCTCTGCGAGTGGGTTCTTGTGTGCGGTGCGGTGTGGTGTGGTTTCGGCTGCTGGGTCTATGGTCGTATCGTCATGTGGTCCCCCGCCAGGTGCGTCAATGTGCGTGCTGGGGTGCCAATGAAAAGGCAGATTAGAGAAATCGATCAAGTTGCACATGCCTGGGCCGAAGGACACACACCTGGAGTATCAGTTTTCGCTCTTTAAAGCCTGCTGCAGGATTCGTTTGGGTGCCATCATTTTGAGCCTGTCATTTTGTCTGTTATCCTGCGGGCACTGTATCCTTTGCAATCGTCAATCATAATCAATATTTTATATACAACATTTTATATGTCAGACAGAGAAACATGCAAATGCACGATATGTCCTGCTGTTCCTGTTTCTGTCTGCCTGTCTGGCGGTCTTCCTGTGTGAAAAATCGATGTT